CATTTTTAATTGATTTTTAAAAAATCACCACTTTTTTCAACTTATAGCCATCGTACAGGTTCCAAATTTTGAGAGATGATAAAGGCCAATACTGCAATAATTTTGCTCTTTCCCTCACCCCGCCCCCTATTCTGGGTTACCCAGTATAGGGGGGTTTAAGGGGCGAGGCAGTACCTGCGGTTTTCCATTTCATCGATTTCATACTAAAATTGTTTGACTTCTTCAAGTTTTGAACTCTTGACTTCTTGATTAAGAGTGTTGTGCACTATTAACTATGCTATAGAAGCTTACAAAATCAGCAATCAATCTTTGGAAATATTTAACTCGACATGAAAATTGCATTGAAATTTTGCCGCTTTCATTTTGTTCATGCATGCTTTGAACTCATTTTGATTCAGCGCATGTTTAAATGATTCCGCATTTTGTTTCAAGCTTAATTGTTCAACAAAAAAGTCTTTCATCTTTATGCCGACATTATGTTCTACGAGGATATCAAAGAAATGGGGCAAGTTTCATTTTTTATTATATGGGACAAGATGGCATTGGACTAGTTGTCATCTGGGGCAAGTTGGAATCGGACAAGTTGGGCTGGTACAAGTTGACTTGGGGCAAAATGACATGTAACCTATATATCATGCTGAAGCTCTCATATTGTTTTAGCCCAATTAGAGAAAATTGGATCAATATGTAATTTTTCATTCCGGATGAAAATCTAAATATCGAAGCCTTTTTCGAACTTGCAAGTCATTCAAGTATTTTTTGCACCATTTTCGCTTTATTGTAAATAACGTAATTTGCCTGCATTTTAGCAAATAAATTTGAATTGAAATTAAAAATAAATCAGAAGTCAAACGGTCAAAAATCAAATTTTAGCTGGATCAAGCAAAAAAAAACTAGATCACGTTTTAGCCACCTTAAATGTCAATGACCACTACGCTTATTGGCACGTAAAAAGAAATCCACATTTCGTACCTTTTTTTTGATATTGAAGAGCAATATACATCTTGTTGAAATTAGTTCGCAAGAAAAATTGAAAAAAAAACAAGACATGATTCCAAATCCACTGAAACACTCTTGAATCTTTACTCGGAAATAAAAATAACTTTGGCGCCGCGCATTCAAGTTTAAGACAATAAGAATATTTAACAACCGTTGAAAATTATTTTTACATTTAAATTGTATCTATTTTCTTCCTCTATCTTCATTTTCTGTACAATAAAAAGTATATTCGACGACGGATTTGGGCATCTGAAACATCATGATCCTCTTTCCTATCGCCAGGAAAAAATCACAGCTCTTGTATCCTTTGCTATCACAAAAATTAAAACAGAACCATATATCAGTTCAAGCTCCGAAGTCATTAGATTCAGATGTACTCTATATACTCAAATCTACCATAGGCACACAGAATAGGCACAAAACTTTTACATTTTATACAGAGCTTAAGCTGACCCCTGGGTACAGAAATAGGATCAATGAGTCCTGAGCGGCCAATTTCCCTCATCTTGAGAAGTTAATTTGCGCTTTGCAGGATCTTTTCAATGAACACACTATGACCAGGTCAATATTTTGCGTGCGCTGCAATCTAAAACTTTCTAAAATTATTCCTATTTTTGGAATAGAATAGCCACTATTTTTATTTACTTTCTAGGCTGCATACGTTTTGAGCACAATTTCATGTTTTTTAGAAGAATTTTGTTGCGAATGATTTTTTCCAGCTGGGTTTGAAATCTTTCGCTAACATAAGCAAAAAAACAACATTTTTCGCAAGTGTTTAACAGAGCGATACAAAAAACATGCCACGAACATGTAAGCAAAAAATAATTATATCTGTACACAAACTTAATACAAGGATAGCCGGTTGCTGTGCAAGTAGCACAAAATGTTTCGACTATATTCATAAAAATTACAAAAAAAAGTTCTTCAAATGATCAAGTTCTTCAAATTACCTTTTTGTACGAGTGATGATAAAACTATACAAAAGCATAAAAAGTTAGTAAAATAGGCATAATCGACAACAGTTGTCTTCAAAAAAAGAAAAAAAAAAAAAAAAAAATTTAAATAAAAAAAAATTCTTGCCAGAGAATTGCCAAATAGCGCTTTCAAAACTATTTTCCGTTTGGAAAAAAAATGAAATTTTATAGCCTAAATGACCAATTTTACAAGTTATTACTTTATTCGGTCGAAATAACACGAAAATCCAAAATTGTTTATTGTCGTCCGAATCTCGAATGAAATGGCTTCAATATGATGTTACGCAACCCAGTCCGATGATTATTTTTGGTACCTGATTTTGCCTTCAAAACAAAAAGAAAACATTAAAACTACCCTAATACAAAGGCCTCCCCATTTTCAATATGACGAAACAAAAAAACTATAAGAAACAAATTTTTTTTTCTCAAAATTTTCGAAAAAATGAGTTTCCCAGAGTAGACATGACCTTCATTTTAAAACTGCTACCAAATTTAAAACTACAAAAAGCTCATTTTAAAACTACAACCACTCGAAGCAGTGAAATTATTTTTTTTTCAAAAGTTCGTAATCAGAATTAAAAACTTCCAATGAGTACAGAAACAAATCTCTGACTCACTGATATTCGTTAAAGACTAGACTTGGAAGTTAAATCGATTTATACACCGTTAGGAACAATAACAGAGGCGCATCTGATCTGTGCATCACTTGCGATAACAAAAGTGTAAGAGAAAATAGCACTACGCTCGAGAACTAGCAAAGACAATTTCAAACAAATTAACCATTGAAATAGGAACTAGAACAACGTTTAAAATTACTAGTATTTCAAGAGGAGTTGATTTTAGCATTAAAAAAATTATTATCAGATATTTTTCGATCTCAAAAATAAGACAAGTGCATCACTTGCGATAAAAAAAAGTATAAGAGAAAATTAGCATGACGCTCGAGAAGTAGCAAAGACAATTTCAAACAAATTAACCATTGAAATAGGCAACTAGAAAAACGTTTAAAATTGTTAGTTTTTAAAGAGGAGTTGACTTTGAGCATTAAAAAAAATATTATCAGATACTTTTCGATCTCAAAAGTAAGACAAGTGCATCACTTGCGATAAAAAAAAAGTATAAGAGAAAATAGCACGACGCTCGAGAACTAGCAAAGACAATTTCAAACAAATTAACAATTGAAATAGGAACTAGAAAAACATTTAAAATTTTTAGTTTTTAAAGAGGAGTTGACTTTGAGCATTAAAAAAGTTATTATCAGATATTTTTCTATGTCAAAAATAGGACAAGAAATTAGGTAATTAAGCTGTCAGAATAAAAGCCGACACCCAATAAACTGAAAGTCAACTTAAAATTTATGCGATAAATCTTCTCGGAAAAAATTACATGTACCACCCAAATATGATCCACGAGTATTGTCTATGTAGTGCATGTAAAGTGTTATACGCAATTTGGAAACTAAACCGACATAGCTTAAGTCGACAGCCAAGATGCCAAAATAATATCAGTGAAAGTATCGAATTTCTATAATTATACATACACATGTATTAGTAGAGATAGTCCGACGAAAACATCAGTGGTGATAATTCAAAAATGAACGTTTCACCGCAAGTTTATCGAAGAAAAAAAAGTCTATTCTGGACTCGAATCCTAGACAATTTCGGATTACAAGTACACAAAAATGCAAAAAAAAATCAATTATGAAGAAAAAGTTGGACGATTTTAGGATTCGAAACGGATACATCACTTGCTATTAAATCACAAAAGAATCTGAGCAGCACACATTGAAATTGAACGCTAAAATATGAACTCAAATAGGCTGGAAAAAAATGAACAAGTATTATAACAAGCTTTTGCTTGGGTAAAAACCAAAGGAAACTTTAAGTCTTTTGCCGTTTTACCACCATGATATTGTAGATTAAGATTAAGACCATATATCCACGGTGGAAAGGACCAACACAAGAGCTGTACAGCTCATCACGGCGCACCGCTGTTGTTCCCCTGTTTAAGAACTTCATGCAATTTTTTTTTGTTATTTTTCTGGGCTGGGTAATGTTGCTTCACCCTCAAGCAACGAGCACGGATCATGGTGGGCCTCGAACATCCGACCTTCCGAGACATTGTAAAGATATTTTCTTAAGGCCCGATCTACATATTTTATTGAAAACTAAGTACTTGAGTAAAGTTTTAAAAAAGTTCAGAGAGCTCACAGAGTTTGTTCGAGTCAATGAAGACTCTTTCCACAAAAGAACGCGACCTAAATAAGGAAGACTCATTAGGTTCGTTGACAATTACAAACCAAAAAAAAAAAACTGGCGACACATGGACTGAAACTAAAGCCTTCCACTCAATAGCATCATTTTCAAGCATCTACACCAAATTACCCCGCTCATCGTCAAAATAGAAGACAACCCATTAGATGATTGATTTCCATAGCACTGAATTAGATAGAAACCTAAGCAAAACGATTATTAAAATGATGTGCTATTTTATTAGAAATATTGTTGCATAATCTTTTACACAGAGGCAAAGCAGAGCTTGGCACCACTTGCGATATAAAAACGTGTGTCAGAAATACAGAAAACAAAAATTTACTGTAAGAAAATTTTTTCAAAAAAAACACAAACAGGTACAATCTAGCCATTCCATAACCCTTGTGATTCATAAAAGCTGTTGACAAACTCAAACCAATCGAATGAAACATTGACGGATAATCAACAAACCGCCATATCTTGAAGCCGAAATTGCATAGGAATTACGTAAATTACATCGGAATTAGGTAACAATTGCATTACAACAATGACAATCTGTTGCTATGTTGCACAACAATATTATTTTCGGCTTGTTAGTATGGTAATCCTATTTTCAGTTTGTTGGCCCTTCCGCTTGTTGGCCTACCACCGAAACATTTCTGCAGAAAGAATATCTGAAATTTTTTACGCCGTAGCACTGGTATATCATAGAATTAAAACTTCAACCAATCAGCACTATTTTCTCAGAGAAATGTTGTGGTTGAAAATACCGTACCTGTAGCAAGGGTCCACATTGGTAATTAGTTTCTTCTCTTCGTCATGAAACTTCATCAGCAACTCCGTCCTCAAAGTACAGTAGTGTACATTCTGCGTCTTCACGAACAAAGTCCTCAAAAACTGCAATATGACGTCATACAGATGAATGTTATCACCAATGAACTCAGTTAACCTGTTTGACCACAGATTACTAAAGTAGGCCCCTGGAAAACAAGCATCACTTTCTGTTTTCCAAAAAACAAAGTATTCAAAATCTCCACATCAGTATCGCTAACCTTTTAGTAAAAGCGGTAAATAATTGACGGTGATATATTACAATAGCTGGTAGGTTCAATTTCAATAGCTGGATCGCTTTTGCTTATACTTCTCACATTTATTATAATTTGCTTCAAAAGTCAAATTTTTTGGCAAAAGAAGTGCGAAATCTGCATCTTTGAATAGCATTTTATTTGGCAGAGTAATGTAATTACAAAACTATCTTAAGAGTAGTACAATTGATTGAAAATGAAAAGACTATATTGTGCATTATTATTATTATGATTACTATTATTATGATTATGATTATGATTATGATTACTATGATTATGATTACTATGATTACTATTATTACTATTATTACTATTATTACTATTATTATTATTATTATTATTATTATTATGATTATTATGATTATTATGATTATTATGATTATTATGATGATTATTATGATGATTATTATGATGATTATTATTATTATTATTATGATTATGATTATTATTATGATTATGATTATGATTATTATTATTATTATTATTATTATGATTATTATTATTATTATTATTATTATTATTATTATTATTATTATTATGATTAGTATTATTATTATTATTATTATTATTATTATTATTATGATGATTATTATTATTATTATTATTATTATTACTATTATGATTATTATTATGATTATTATTATTATTATTATGATTAGTATTATTATTATTATTATTAGTATTATTATTATTATTATTATTATTATTATTACTAGAGTGTTTTTTTTAACAAGTCAAAACACTATTCTTTGAGTGTACTCTGACAGCATCCAATTACAGGGTTCGTAATTAAAAATTTTGTATTCAAGTTTTATATTCAATAAAGTTTTTTATTCAAGTTTTTTATACAAATTTTGAAGAACCATAAAATTTTGTTAAGTTTTATAAAAGTTCTTCGTAAAATTTAAAATGAACTAAGAAACGTCACATCTGGGAAACTGAAAGTAATTGAGCAGTCGCATTTGGACGCAAGATTTGCAACTCCTGAGAGTAACTTCAAATTTTGTAAAATTTTTCATTCGATTTTTAAATTCAAATTTTGAAAAACAATTAACATTTATGACATTTTTTTAATATCTAAGTTTATAATGAATTAGGAAACCTCAGATCTGAGAAACTGAAAGCAATTGAGCAGCCGCATTTGGACGCAAGATTTGCAACTCCTGAGAGTACCCTTACAGTACCCAAGTACAACGTTGGGAAACTCAGATTTTGAGAAACTTCACTTAAGTCTTTTTTGATGGCAATTTTCGCAATCTTTGAAAGTACACAACTACAGGGTTGGGAATTTCACTTTCACGAATTATTTTGTAATTTCAGTTTTCTGAAAATTTCCAAAAAAAAAAATTGTCTTATCTCTTAAACAAAAATAATTTGGGCATTCTTAAAAAGAGGCCGAATTTGAAACCCCTGAGATTACTCTGACAGACCCCCAACTTCAGGTTAGGAATTTCAAACTTAGAAGAAAAAATTTAATTTAATTTTGAGAAAAACTTTTTTGAAAAAATCACAAAAAACGTCATATCCAATTTAAGAAGCTGGCTCAAGGGGTGAATTTTTCAAACAGCTGGGAATTGTAAAAACTTGAATCCATTTTTAAAACTAAAATTCGAAGTTTTTTCGGGCTACTTGCACTCTTGTTACTAGAAAGCGTTATCTCTTGTTACTAGAAAGCGTTATTTGCTTTCTTTTTGGCAATGGATTTGAAAAACTTCAAAAAAAAATGAAATTCAAATCGTGAAAAATCTTATTTGAGAACCTGAAAAAAAGACAAAGAGGCGCCTTCACTTTGTTCATTGGCGCTTAATAATACGACTCTGCTGGTCGAGGATCAAACCAAGCTTAGCTTTGCAGCTCAGTTGATGACGCGCATCGAACTCTATCCAAAAATGCTCAAAACTTGGGCAAACGTTTTTTCCTTTGAGGGCCACAATGAAAAATATTGCCCATTATTTTTGAAATTCTTGCTTCAGCTGATGAAAATCTGAAATGCGATGTAAGTGTTTTGATGGGGCCTACTATAGCACTCTATAGCCTCTACCTTTTCACGACTGATCCCTGTCTTCTCAATTTCGGTGCTGACGTCATAAACGAGTTCTGTTCACTCGTACTGTACATAACTGCTTCTTTACTTTTGATGTACTCGCTCAACAAGGGCGATATTTCTTCACCAAACAAATTCTGATTTTTCTGCCAAATTTGACGCTTCACACTCAAAGCACACAACTTGTGCCTGTAAATTAATTTATTTTTCTCAATTTTTGTCAAGATATTCTCTGGAATTTCGGGAAGACGTGACAGAGCATCGAATAAAATATCTTGCAAAGGCTCAAAATCAATCAAAACAAAATTTTTCTCGACAAGTGACAGAATAACTGGGTTATTTCCTAGTGTCGGTTCCGACTTTTCGCCACTGGATTCACCGGCTTCTTTTTTGGGAGACGTATTTTTGCCAACGTCATCTAGACACTTTCTGAACTGCTCCTTGAGAACTTCAATTAGGGAACTGTGAAACTCGCGTCTCGGTATGTCGTGCAAATCTATCAAGGGCAGTGCTGGTCTCAGAGAAGGTAAGAGGACACTGTTTCCGGTTTTTATATCAGAATAAGTGGTACACGATTTTCTTCTCTCCGAGAAAAAAAACCATGCTCAAACAACTATCGAGATGGTATGGATTATGATCATTAAAAACTATTAATTGAGCCATTTCAAAACAAACTCTTTTATGTCTTATCGTACTCTCGTTTAAAATAATTGCTTAACACGCGCAAAATATTGCGACCTTCTTATTCTGATATGACCTGTTGTCGCTTTGGAAGCGACTGATCCATTCCTCTGGGTCCTCGCAACATGACAGTTGTTCCGTGATGAAGTCGGGCCCAGGAACTCCAATATGTTCCAGCCCTCTTGGCATTTCCAAAACGAATTCGTGCAACAAGACAGATTGAACTGAAAAACTCGGCTGTTTATTTTTTAGCAACAATATCTAGATATGCAGTATTTTTTAGTTGACAGACAAACTCAAAACTTAATCAGCCTTCTGAAATATGTTTTCCACCTAACCTAAGGCCGATATGCATCAATATTTTGGGAGAAACAAATTAAGATGCATATCATCTCAAAAAATATCGCATACTTTTTTCTCTGATATTTTCCTCCCGTTCTCACTCAATTTTAGAAAATTCTTCTTTCTTAAGCTCTGTAGATCGTTCCACATCGAATCCCTTGCATGAACTTTTGAAGCAAAAAAGAATGCATTAAAAAGATCACAGCTAAGAGAGAGTTCGGAAAACAACATCAAACGCAACAAAGCCGGCACGTCGAATAATTTTTTAAAATTCAACTTCGAGAATAAGGACAGATAGGAAGCTGCTATTTACAAGCAAGCCAAAAAATCGAACCACTAATTATTTGAAAAACGGAAAGATGCTTTTAAGAAGATGCTTATGATTTCATATGTCAGGACTGAAGAAACAACATTCCGCTCAAAGCCTCATAGTTTTGGCCTCTGTGCCCATTTGACCTCAGACTTATAACATAGGCGCTACGCGCAATACACCGAAGGCATAGAAACTGAAGCAAAAACCAAACAACTTGAACAACTAATAATTGAAGAATAACAGTTCTAGAACAAAAAATCGTACTAATACATGTATACACCAAAATTTTGCTATATCGAGAAAGAGCCTGAAATAACAGTTCTAGAACTAAAAATCGTACTAACACATGTATAGGTTAAATTTTTGATATATCAACGAAGATCATAAAATAACACTTCTAGAACTAAAAATCGTACTAACACATGTATACACCAAAATTTTACTATATTGACAAAGAGCCTGAAATAACAGTTCGTGAGCTAAAAATCGTACGAACACATGTATACACCAAAATTTTGCTATATTGGCAAAGATCATGAAATAACAGTTCGAGAGCTAAAAATCGTACTAACACATGTATACGTCAAATTTTTGCTATATTGACAAAGATCATGGAATAACAGTTCTAGAGCTAAAAATCGTACTAACACATGTATACACCAAAATTTTGCTATATTGACAAAGATCATGGAATAACAGTTCGAGAACTAAAAATGGTACTAACACATGTATACAATAAAATTTTGATATATTGACAAAGATCATGAAATAACAGTTCGAGAACTAAAAATCGTAATAACACATGTATACACTAAAATTTTGCTATATTGGCAAAGATCATGAAATAACAGTTCGAGAGCTAAAAATCGTACTAACACATGTATACGTCAAATTTTTGCTATATTGACAAAGATCATGGAATAACAGTTCTAGAGCTAAAAATCGTACTAACACATGTATACACCAAAATTTTGCTATATTGACAAAGATCATGGAATAACAGTTCGAGAACTAAAAATGGTACTAACACATGTATACAATAAAATTTTGATATATTGACAAAGATCATGAAATAACAGTTCGAGAACTAAAAATCGTAATAACACATGTATACACTAAAATTTTGATATATTGACATAGATCATAAAATAACAGTTCGAGAACTAAAAATGGTACTAACACATGTATACGCTAAAATATTGCTATATTGACGAAGAGCCTGAAATAACAATTCTAGAGCTAAAATCGTACTAACACATGTATACACCAATATTTTGCTATATCGACAAAGAGCCTGAATAAACGTTGTAGAACTAAAAATCTTACTAACACATATATACACCAAAATTTTGCTATATTGACAAAGAGCCTGAAATATTGACAAAGGACCTGAAATAACAATCGTAGAACTAAATGTCGTACTTACGCATTGTAGATCAATTTCTATAGCTATAATAAAATACAAAAGATTGTGTTTGTATGTGTAGCAAAACGCCTCCTGTCGTTTCAATCGGCCAATCGTAAATAAATAAATACATAAATAAATACATAAATAAATAAACATATAAATAAATAAAAGCAAAACTGAAATGTACAAATAATTAAATTAACATGAAAAAATATATATGAACAAATAACCAAACAAACAGACCCATAATATGAATAAATGAAAATAAATAAATGAAATAAATACACATACATAAATAATAAAAGCAAAACTAAATGAAAGAAAGAATAATTAAATAAATATAGAAATAAATATCAACAAATAAACAAAACACACCTGATAAATAAATAAGCAATAAAAAAATAAATCAATACATAAATAAATAAATAAATACATAAATAAATACATAAATAAATAAATATATAAATAAATAAAAGCAAAAGTGAAATGTACAAATGATTAAATAGACATGAAAAAATATATATGAACAAATAACCAAACAAACAGACCCATAATATGAATAAATGAAAATAAATAAATGAAATAAATACACATACATAAATAATAAAAGCAAAACTAAATGAAAGAAAGAATAATTAAATAAATATAGAAATAAATATCAACAAATAAACAAAACACACCTGATAAATAAATAAGCAATAAAAAAAATGAATCAATACATAAATAAATAAATAAATGCATAAATAAATACATAAATAAATAAATAAATAAATAAATAAATAAAAGCAAAAGTGAAATGTACAAATAATTAAATAGACATGAAAAAAAATATATGAACAAATAACCAAACAAACAGACCCATAATATAAATAAATGAAAATAAATAAATTAAATAAATACACACGCAGAAATAATAAAAGCAAAACTAAATGAAAGAAAGAATAATTAAATAAATAAACAAAACACGTGATAAAAATAAACAAAAATAAATATGTACATACATAAATTATAAATAAATATAAGCAAACTAAACATAATTAAATAAATAGAAGAACAGATAATTAAATAATTAAAGATGAACAAATAAAGAAACAAACATACGCAATCACGTGACATAGCGCGATATAGTCCAGCCCACATGATAATTGATAACTGTGGACGTTATTTGTCGACACTTGACAACAGACAACATTATAAAAAAAAAACCCGTTACACGATACCATAACACCTTGACTAAAGTCTTCGTTGTAAAAAGGTTCCATTAACACGCAAGACAGAATTTAAATTTTCATATCCAGAGCCAACGCACAGAGAGGCGAATCAGAGCGTCGCACCATTTGCAGTACAACAAAACAGCACGGAAGAGAGCCAAAAGAAATTAAGATGAGGTCACACGGTCGAAAAAATTGACATAAAAACATCAACCAAAATTTTAAAACGTTTGTTCGAGTGAAGTTCAATTGGAAGACATTAGGACGAGAAAATCAAATGACAGTGTCAAGCTAGTATTGAAACAAACTTACGGTTACTTAAGAGAAAATACTTGGCTAGACGACGGTTCAGCCGAAAAAAATAGAACCCTAAAAAAATCCTAAATTTTTTATATCTTAAATCAAAAAAATTTTTGGAAAAATTTTAGGCCCCCTTGCCGAAGCGAAAACTCCCCTCCAAATATTTTCTACCTCCAAGCGGTAAAAAAAGAGATAATACTTAGGTAGACGACCATTGATCCGAAAAAAAAATCGTAAAATGTTTTGATTATCAAAAAAAAATTGGGAAATGAGAAAAATAGAATTTTTTTTAACTTAGAGGCGATAAAAAAAAAAGGAAAGGTTTTAAACTTCACGACGCTCAAGCACTTGGAAAGAGGACTTCAACCGATGTTACCTCAAAAAAAATCGTACGTTTTTTTGTTAAATTTATTGCACCGTTTTGTAAAGGTATCAATGTTGTTGAACTTGAGCATTCAAAAAATTGCCGCCACTGTCTTATCGATTTCATAAATAATATCATAAAACTGTAGAAAACAATAATAAGACGACGGAATAAAACCGGCAGCCAATAAGCTGAAATTCAGCCGAAATAGTCCTGCAAACAAAATTGATGAAAAAGGTACAGCTCATATAGTATCCAAGAGTGCCATATACGTACTAAAGGGAAGGTGGTTTACACATTTTGAAAAATTTGCATCCAACGATCCGGGATTCAAACCCCTGACCTGTGAATGCAAAGTCGACGGCGTTACATCTAGACCAAGTGCGAAGACCAAGTTGTTTAAATTCAATAATAAAGCAGGTTGAAAATTTGTAATAGTTGTTTACGGAAAAAGTCTAGTTAACGATTACAAGACACTTGCTTTCGTAACTGTTAAGATAATTGGCTATTTTCTCTTTTGAACCAAAAATCTGAAAATTAAAACACACAATTTGGAAATAAAAATCAAGCTCTATTTTCTACTGTAACTTGCGTTCATTGTAGAAAATGCAAATTCCAGTGACTTAAAATACAGTCATGGGATATTGAATTTGCGTTTATGTCGTTCTATCTGCAATTATTAAAAATATAGGATTTTGACACATTCCCGATGAATATATTTGGAAGGATCTAACCGGATCAAAAACTGAGAGATTTCAATTTGAAGGCCTAAAAGAGCGAGTAAATCATACCTATTTTCAGAGATGCTCTAGCTCTGAAAACATCCTCAAACAAAAAAAATAATTTAAAATTATTGGATCAATTTGGTTCATAATGAACGATTTTTAATTAGTATCTAGGCTGATGATTTTCAATTAGTCTCTAAGCCGCGAAAAAACGACAGACAAACGAACTGAACATAAGCAATTAATTTGTCTCAAATATATGTCCATATTTCGTTTTCATATCTCAATCGCCAAAACAGATATGATCATTTTTTGACGAGTAAGATACGAAAAGGTCTGAGACAAAATAACTGCTTATGAGAACCCTGCGAATAAGATGTTATTTCGCCAAAATATCAGCTGAAATTGTTCGTTTGTTGGCTTATTTCGATCACCACCGCAAAGTTTCTCTTAAAATTTTGCGCTGGTGATCGAAACATTTGTTGACGCCGGACCAAGTTAATCTTCCAAATATTTTGTCTGTCGTTTTTCCGTGGGTTAGAGGCTAAGTGAAGATCATCAGCTGCCCTACAAACCAATTTGAGCCAAGAAATTCAAATTCCTTGTTTTGTTTTAGAGGCTGTTTCGAGAGCACAAACACCTTTGAATCTAGATATGATTTACTGGTTATTTTACACGCCTTCAAATTAAAAATTCTCAATTTTTAATCCGGTAAAACCCTTCCAATTAGTTTCATCTAGCATGTGTCAAACTATCATCCCTATATCTTCATTAATTGCACAGAACACGACAAAAACGTTAAGAAACAAATCCGTTCATTTACTCGTTGTAAACAAAAAGTGCAACTTCAATGTCGCGTGACTGCACCACGTATACAAAATTGAGAGGATCTCTTGATTAAAATGATAGCCAAAATGCAGCTGGAAATCAAACAATGAGCACAACGAGACCAAAAAAGCAACTTTCGAGCATTATAGCAAAAAAATGCACCAACTTAAACTCAAGTCCGGCAACTCAAACTAAAGTCCGGAAAAAAGTATACACTCACACAAGTGTAATAATAAATAACTAGTCATATAAAGCAATTCTATTAATGGGAAAAACTTGAGGTAGTTAATAGAACAACGCCAGAAAAAACCTTTTCAAGTCACGTTTCTTCCTTTATACATTACTTTCTATTAAAAACAAAGGGATAGAATTAATTGATGAGAGTCACTAAATCTGAAAGAAGTTAAATTATCAAAACATTGCACAAAATTAAAGCGAGTTAGCGTGTAAAGCACCTCCGGAGCTTCGAGATTTTGACAAATCAGTCATCTGTTAGATTCAGTCACCTGTTAAAATTAGCATTAAAAAAATCCCAGCACTGAGTAAAACTTCGCCTTCTAAGATAACCAAAGCTTCCGGTCGACGAACTTGCATTAGATAATCTTTGCTATCTTTAACCAGATGAAGATCACATCAATTACATCAGATCAGCATAAACCATTGAAAGAGACAGCCTGAAACTTGGATGAACAAAAATCGTTTGAATATTTTCTATTCGTTTCAAAGCCAACAGATAGTTGGAAAAGAGTCAATGAAGAAAACTAAACAGAAAATACTGACTTTTTTTTTTATGAAATAACTCAACTTTCGAATTTTCAATAGAAAAAAGATGGCCTTCGAAATTCTAGAACAATTTTTGATTGACAGTTTTCATTAAAGGAAGCAAATTTGAGAAAAACTGTATTAAAAAGTTAACTGTGAAAACTAAATTCAAATTTTCGAAATTAGAAGTCGATCATAATTTTCTTGAAATTTACAGTTTTGTTTGTTAGTGGAGTTTGCCTCCTTTTAACAGAGGAAAGGAGCTGAACTTAAAAACATAGCCAATCGAAGATCGGAAAAGAGTAAAGAACGCAAGTAAACGTATAAAAAAAACACTGACTTAGTTGAAAATAGAAAAAAAATAGATGCGCCTTTAAGCTCTTTGGATATCTAGAATAATTTATGAGTGGCACTTAACTGATAACATTAACTCAACTTGAGAAAACTGGATCAACAGGTAAAATTTTTATTCCGCTGGAACTAGAATTCCACTTTCGAAACTAGAAATAGTTCAGTTTTTTTTTGCGCCATTTCCACGTTTGTATTTGAAAGAGTGCTATTTAAGTCACTTTCAGCAGATGAATTTCAACTGAACTAAAAAAGTGCATACATACCTAAGTGCATTCATAAATGCATCAATATGAATGAAGGTAGATCTGTAGTTATTGGACCATTTCAAAACTTTTTCCTTAAAACAAAAAAAATCATAAAGACCAATATAATAGTTTTCACTACGTTTGTTACTTTTAAAAAGCAAAAGCCAAACCGCGAAACAGTAAATTTGAGCTCTAAATAAATATCCAAGACTTTTCCTGAAAAAATTATCCCGCCTTATAGAAGAGTCTGATCTACGTTCATCGACTCTTAACAAGCATTGCTCGTGTTATGAATGACTCAGTAGACCAATAGAAAAAACAGTAGTCTTTCTAAATAATCTATTGCATTTTTATGTTCGGAACGATTATTAGTTATTTTAGGCGTATTTATAGTACTTCTTTGAGGTACAAAAAGACAAAAATCGCCAAAATCGTCTCAGCAGATTATTAAGTAAGCAACACATACGAAAACAAAACGTAGCATCGGGATTTGAATTTATTTATTCAAAAAACAAAACAAAACCCTACGAAAGTAGGTGACGTGCGCTCAATATCAAAGTAAGACTCAGTCACGTGTTAAATTCAGCATTTAGGAAAATCCCAGCACTGAGTAAAACTTCACTTTCTAGGATAACCAAAGCTTCCGGTCGACGAACTTGCATAAGATAATATTTGGTATCTTTAATCAGATAAAGATCACATCAATTAGATCAGATCGTCATAAACCATTAAAAGAGACAACATGAAACTTTGATGAACAAAACGCTTTTGAAGATATTCTATTCGTTTCTTCATTTATGGGTCTTTGAGGTGTTTACATTGACAAGCCTTTGAAGCAAAGGCCCATCTTGACGACGAACAAAACTTTCGCAGAAAGTAAATAATATTTGAAAACAGCAGGATTATAAAGAATTCGAAATTCAAATTAGAACTCAAGCATATTAGCATATTGAACGGAAGTCCAAACATATCTCGAAACATATGGCACAAAACCTTGTACCGCAATGAAATGATCTTTTAATTCACTGAAGCATGAAAAAGCCAAACTTAAGCATCATTTTGTCAGTCAGTGAACTATTTCCGATAGTTATATTTAACTTTCAAACACGACGTTACAGTACGGTAAATAACAATTGCACCTTCGCAATGAGCGTCCAATGAGGGATAATTAACGCTCTAAATACAACACGCGAGACATGCGAAACGTCGTCTGATGACTAAGAATTGTGACCAGGACTTATGGAGACTTCAGATATGGTATTAATACAAAATTCAAGGTTTAGTTTCCTCAGTTAACATAAATGAAGGCTGGTATATTATGTAGTTTGAGCCTCGTCATCTACAGACTTTTCCCTTCGTTGCTTTAGAGAGCAGGAATAACAACTTCAGTTATAGCATTGCTACGAACGAGATTCGTTGTTCACGTTCGAGGAATGTGATTGGCTGATTGAAATTGTCTGCTGTTTACCTCTCGACGCTTCACTGTTTGAATTTGAGCCTCGAGAATTGCCACCGGACTGAAAATTGGCAATGGCAAAGGATTGTTGTTCGTTCGGTTTTCTCGGGTCGGCAGCGGACAAATGGGAACCCTGATTAGATATGCCTGAAAAAATCACTGGTTTTTGAAAATTTAATCTTGTAATCTTGTAGCTGTGAAAATTTAAGCTTAGCCTCGCTACAAATTCCGAAATGAGGGTCAAAACTTACTCGTACAGGGGAATAAACATTTCAAAAAAAGTAAGCAAAATAGGACATCTTTAGCAGTTCTAAATTAGAACATGGATAGCCGGTGTCTGTGCAAGTAGCACAGAATGTTCCGATCACACAAAAATTTTTCTTTTTTTCTTCAAATTAGTGTCTTTTCTTGTGCGCCGTGTGACAAAATAACTATACAAACACGCATTAAGTTAGTAAATAAAGAATAATGGACAACGGTTGTCTCCAAAAATTAATAACATAGCCAACAGACAGTTGTTCGAAAAGAGTCAATGAACGCAAGTAAACAGAAAACACACTGGTTTTGAGGGAAAAAAATCTCATTTTTCGAATCTCGCAGAAAAAACAGATGGCCTTAAAGCTCTGAAATTCTAAAACAATTTATGATGGATACTGTTTTGATAAAATTAATCCAATTTGAGCAAACTGGATCCATAAGTAAACTTTTTATGGTATAATGGTATCAGGCTCTGGTATAATTTCAAATACACGAGCCTTTAAAGGTCAATCAATCACTTGCGTTTAGTAATTGTAAGAATGATTCAAAGACTCCAAAAATAAATCAATGACCAACAAAGAAACTAAACCAGTAAGATCCAGAGAAACATCTGTCAGCAGCTTGCCAGTCGCATTGCCACCCTGTTCCTGCTCGCTAATGCGCTTCTTCGAAATGCGCTTCGGATCTGCTCGGTCCCTCGGACAGCAGAGCAGCTCGTCGGTGCAACTCTTTTCCGGTCCACATGTAAGCAGACATTCCTTGTTGTCGGCAGCGTTCTCATAATTATCGCCGCCATCGCTGCGAACGACTGACTTGCTCTCTTTGGAATTACTGCCACTTGAGCCTACAACACTAACCGATCCCTGAGAATCGTGTGTTACGTCTGTTCTACCAATAATAGGTACCTTCATAGTCATGCCGTTTTTAGGGTCCCACGGAGTCTGAAACATTCAGTTATTAAAAACACTGTATCGGACCCCCTGAGGAACCAAAAGGTCGCCCCTTAAATACTAATAGTTTAGAACATACATTTTTGGCTGACCAACCTTAACATTTTTCTGAAGGTGCCAATTTTGAGGGGTAAGTGCGCGCCAAACAAACGCGTTTTAATGGTTAAATTTTTACAAATATAGCCAACAGACAGTTGAAACAGAGTCAAAGAACGCAATTAAACGGGAAAATAAAATACTGACTTGTTTTTTTTTTGAAAAAATCTCAACTTTCGAACTTCCAAAAAAAAGATCCCATTAAAACCCTTTGAAATTCTAGAACAATTCACGTTTTCATTTTGTTGAGAAAATTAACCCAATTTAAAGAAAATCGGATCATAATTTAAAAAAAAATTTGTTTCGCAAGAAGATCTGATAGTCAAATTTTGAAATTAGAAGTCGATCACGTTTTTCGTGACCTTTGCCTTTTAGCTGTTCGATAGTGGGGTTTGCCTTCCTTTGAACAAAGGAAATAGACTGATTTTAGAAAGAAATCAAAAGTCAAATATCAAAAAACTAAACTTGAGACTGAACAAATTTTAAAGACTTTCCGTGAAAAAAAAAAAAAAAAATCATCGCAACCTATGAGTCTTAACTTCGTTCATTGACTAGTGAAAAAACGAAAAAATCAACACAACCTATATAAAAGTCTGAACTACGTTCATCGAACCTTAAAAGGTGTCTAAAATTCTTTTATTCCTGTTTTCTTTAAAAATATATTGCGATTTGAGAGAGCTCGAAAAATCAATTTGGTCGAGACCTAAAGAAGAAAAAAATCTCCCTCGTGAAAATCCTAGATCTGTCCTTGTAAACACTTACTGCCCTTCTTCTCTCCTCCCTTTGGTACTAATTTATATTTGGCACTCCTCTATGCTACTAAACAAGTAATTAAATTGGCTCCTCCAGCTTAGACGTAAACCCAGCACTTCGAGAAAAGCAACCAACTTCAAACGAACACAGCGCCCGCCGTCTCACAAAAGTTACATGATGCTATCCAGTTCATAAAATGACAATAACCATCCCGAAAGCATCCATTCAATTCAATCCCATGTTAATGACGTCAGCGGTCATAAACACTTCAAATATATTTGTCGCCATGTGGATGTTATGAAATCTTTGCCCATTGTTTCTCTATTCAATTTTTCATCTGTTGTTTTTTTAAACTTATTATTACATTACTACATGAAGAGGTCGCTATCTATCAAATAAGGAAGCGAAAAGAACTCTGATTGATCTTTTTCTCGAGTATGTAAGTTTCGATTCACCTCGATGAACTCTGGCTGTATGGTGGTAGAGTGGATTCCCATGTCGTGGAAGTACCTCTTGATGTCATTCGCCATCTGCATGTACTCCTGTGGAGACTGACACTGCACGTGGGCAGATGCTATGATCCTATTGCCCGCCAGCTGCCACACGTGCAACTCATGCATGCCTTTAATCGATGGCACCTTAAACAGCAGAACAAAAATCAGATCTCGCTTAAAAAAGTTACCGCAGAGGTTCTCATTACCAATTTTGCCCCTATTCTGGATCTACCCATGCCATGCAGGCTTTTTTCAATCGCAAATTTGGAATTGCAATTGAAAAAAATATGTTTTTGAAAACATTTCATGCCTGTCGACATAAATGGATGAAAGATCCCCGAGAGTCTTTTTTTTATTAAAAAAAGACATATCAAAGATGATTTTCAGAAAAACTGACGCTGAATCCTCCAAAACTGAGTCTGAACAGTAAGAGTTCAGACAGTTTGTCTCGACCTTCTCTAAAAAAATTTGACCTTTGAACAGTCCAAATTCAGACTGAAAAAATAACTTTTTTATGATACAAATCTCCAGCAACCTTTCTTCGAATAACCACAAATAACTGAAAATCATAGATACTACTTCCAACCACTTGAGTTTGGTTGGAAAAATAACGCTTAAAAGTCGAGTATTAGATAATGACCTGTTCGAGCAGTTCGCTTTGCACTTGGTCTATGCGAATGTGTGTTGGAACTGTCTGCAGCAAAATGAAGGCAGACTCCTTCACTGAAACGGAAATCAGAATTTGTTAATCAGCTCAAAATTAACAACCAGAAATAAACTATTGTAGGTATAAAGTGAGAGGGACAACTTACACAGTGGAATGGTTGAACTCAGAATGATGATAACCATGCAGATACTGAAACAAGGAGGATTCGATTAAATTACCATAAAATATCAAGTGTGGTAGTAACATGGTGTGGTAGTTCCAAGAAAACCTCGAGAATGTTTCCGCAACTAATCTTCATGTAAAAGCGTCAATGAACGCAAGTAAACAGAGAAAAAAAAACAGTGTTTAAAAAATCTCGTCTTTCGAATTTCAAAGAAAAAAATACATTCTTCAACGCAATTTGAATTTCAAGAAAAATCTAAAATTGACACTTTTTTGATTAAAAATTAGTCAATTTGAGAAAATAGTATAATTAGGAAATTTTTTATTCTCCTGGAAAATCTGAAAATTTAATTCCACTTTCGAAACTAGAAATCGATCACGTTTTTTTGCGCCATTTCAGCTTTCATAATTGGAGAGTGTATTTTGCCAACCTTCCACCAAATGAACTCAAAAATTGCAGAATATCTCTAAAGACATTCATATTTGCATTTATAAGTATGAATGGATTAGTTTTGTTATTAGAGCATTTTAAGCACACGTTTTCAGTATTTTTCCTTGCCATATTTAAAAACTAGTGCAATATTTGAAACACTAGTGCAATACTGAGAAAAAAACTTTTGCAGAAGTTGCAAAACTAGAGCAAAATTTAAAACACTAGTGCAATGGTTTTTCTAGAAAACCAACCAAAACTAATTAGAAAGAAAATCGCGTGATATCGTGAAAACTTTTTCAAATGTGTTTTGTTCAATTTTTTCACGTGTTTCATACCTGATAAGCAACAGTTTACAAGGCATCTCGGAATTTATTTACATTACATCTCGACACCGCGTGTCTCTGTTTGTTCACAAAATTTCTCGATCCAATTTTTAGCAGTTGCTTATCTACTACAAAAACTGAAAAAATCACAGCCTATATAAGAGTCTGAACTACGTTCACCGAGTCTTGAAAAAAAACTAACTTGTTCCTTGAAAAAAAACTTTGGAAATTCAAGATTAAAATTTTGAGGCTGGTTGAGTCCTAAGACAGGATTGAACTATTTTTGAAAACATTAACACCATTTGAGAAATCTTAAAATTTAAATCCACCAGAAAAATCATAACGACCTATGTCAGAGTATTCACTACGTTCATGACTCTTAAACACTGAACCACACCCAAAGATCTTTCAAAATTCCTCTCATCTTTTACTGGTCGGAACAACGCCCGAGCTCATTGACTCTTAAAACGGTTTCCTGCAAAAAGAAATTAGACATTTCTAAGTTTTTTTTTACAATGACAGATGCTCGTTTTTAATTTTTAACTGTAGCTTTTTCGATTCTTTTGAACCAGCACTAAAAATATCCATAGCGGAAACAGCTCAGGCTGTTGTGCTAAACAGCTTTTCCTGAAACCTTGCAAAACCTTTTAAAACCAGTTTACACAGGCGTAACGAGCTTCAAGCCAATCGCGATACAATAATTTAAGTACGGCGGCTGGCCGAAAACAAATAAGGCCGAAGCGACTCAGTCAGTTTTTCTTCCTAATGCCGAAAAAAACATCAACTAAGAACTGTACGTTGGTCTCGATTGGAGTTCAATTCGAGAAAAAAGGTGTCGACAAAAACAATTGACAGCGTTAAATTAGTTTTGAAACAAAAACTAACATGAGTTAACAAAGGAGACACGAAACTGCTGGCACAAAAAACGGATCTAAAAAATTTTGAAAATCAAAAATTTATAGGCTCCCCAGTCTCGCGAATACTGACACAAGCACAGGAAGATAAAACACATTTTTCGTTCAAGCTACGCAGTTTTAAATGATTACGTCTACATAAGAGCCCGATATCATTTGAGCCGAAAAAAAAAACATAAAAGGCAAACTAATAGGTCGACAATTTTTTCAAAAGAAATAGCAAGGAACGCACCTCCAATGTTTCAAACAGATTAACTTACGTTAAAATTGCATATTCATAAAATGCACGAAAAATCAACGAGATTGATGCAATATTAACGATAGACGGAGAATCCAGAAACGCTTTCTATTTCATAAACTGAACAAAAAAAGTAAACATAACTTTAAAGTTCTTTTTGAACTAGTCGCATCTGAAGCCAAAATCTGCATCCACTGAGAGTACCCCCGACAACACCGAACTACATGATTGGGAATTTCAAAATTTGTGAATTTTTTTGAACCTCAGTATTTTATCAGAAAAAAAAACAATGCCAAAAAAAACGTCATATCTCGGAAGTTAAAATAATTCGAGCTGTCAAACAAGGAGGCAAGATTTCCAGCCCCTGGAAGAACCCTGACAGCATAAAATTACAGGGTGCGGAAATTCAAACTTTGTGAAAGTTTTTAAATTCTAAGTTCTTTGAAAATTTAGAAAAAATCATAAAAAAGGTCATTTCTCAATATCTCGGAAACTAATAGCATTCGAGCAATCACATTTGGAGGAAGAATTGTTATCTCTGAAAGTATCCTGACAGCATCCAATGACAGTGTCATTTATTACAAATTGTGAAATAAACAGAATTCCAATTGGAAAAACAAAAAAGTTTCTTAAGCATTGCAATTACGTTGAAAAAACTTAAGCATGAAGAGATATTTTTTTCCAGTTTGCAAGCAAATTTTTCAGTTTGCAGGCGAAATTGTAAGATTTTTTTTTCCAGTTCGCAAGCAAATTTTTCAGTTTGCAGGCGAATTTGAACTCAAGACGTTTGTCGTCCCAGGCTTAGACTTCACCGCCAGGCCAAAATTGCCGTAGATTAATTTGAATTTATATAAGAAATTTACCTTACAAGATTCGAAACAAATCGAAAGCCTTGTAATGCTCCTATATACATTATTACATAAGAACATGCACTAACACAAATCAAAAAACAATTCGGAAACTAAGCCGACAGTTCTGATCTCGACAATCAACAAGCCAAATAATCATCATCATTATTAGTTAAATTCTATTAGTTAAAATGTAGAACCTTATGACATATTGTAGAATCTTAAAGTTACTATTTCAGTAGTCATAAGTTCAGAAAAATCAAGAAACCAAGCATGATAGTCAGCAGCGCAAATGATTCAAGGATTTTTGTAACTCAAAAAGTTGGCCCGAAAAAAAGCCTCGATCCGATTTGATAACGCTTGCTAACTCCAAGCGTAATAAACAATATCATTAACGGAATAATGAAAAAAATCGGAAAAATTCGTTAATTTTCATTCATCCACAGGTGTGAAGCACTTTCTTATTTTCAAAATAATGCGACTAAAAACAGAAAATCCGTGTATTTTTTTTTAAATATTAGCACAGCCAATAGCAAAATAGATAAATGTCAAGAAAACACAAAAAATTATGGAGTTTTCTAAAATTTTGTTCACCTTTCTACGGAAAATTACATCGCGTTGAAACGTTTTCTATTCAGCGACAACAGATAAAAGAATCTTTTCCGATTGACACTTTAAACAAACGATTAGAGAAAACTTGATCAATAGTTAATTTTATATTCCGCTGTGGAATTTTAAAATTCACTTTCGACTTTCACATTTTTTTGCCATTTCCACATTCATTAAGGGAGAGAGAAATTTGCCTAACATTCAGTAATTGAATTTGAATTGAACTAGAAAAATCAGAAGTCACTGCGTGAAAAAAAAATAAAAATCGATCGAGAAAACAAAATTTGTTGGAGATATTTTTTCCTACAAAATCTGACCTAAATAAGTGTTTCCACTTCGTTCATTCTTAAATTCGGAAAAAATTCTTAAAATCATAGGCGGTAAAATTACAAACTACTGCAAAAAATAAACATAGCCAACTGACACTTGAAAAAGAGTAATGAACGCAAAGAAACAGAAAAAAACTGACTTGTTTTTTGATAAAACTTCAACTTGCGAATTTTGAAAAAATATATATGCCCTTAGAGCTCTTTGAATTGCATGATCAATTTATGCCTGACCCTTTTTTTAATAAACTGAACCAAATTTGAAGAAAAAAATGGATCAATAGGTAACACTTTTTATGTTACTGGGTAATCTGATAATTAAATTCCATTTTCTTAATTAGAAGTCAATCCATTTTTGCGTGACCATAACATTTTGCTCTTCAAAAGTGCAGTTTGCCTTCCTTTTAACAAAGGAAATGAAGTGAATTTAAAAAGAAATCAAAAGTCAAACCCCGAAAAAAAGTAAAATTTGAGCGTGAACAAATTTTAAAATTTTTTCCTAAAAAAAAAAACAAAAAAAAAAAACTAAGACCTGTATAAGTCTGATGCACAAAACAAATCACGTGCGACTTTTGTAAGCAAAGTTATTTATGGGAAAAAGTCTAGTATCCGATTACAATACCCTAGCTAATCTCAAGGGTAACAACTTGTTTACAGTAACTTCGGAACTTTTTATGGATCGCCTGCCTTCCCTGGAAGCTAAATGATGAAAAGCAAATCATAACCTGAGACATGGATCGAGGTAGAATGTCCAACATGGCACTTCTACTCGTGTACCAGTGGGCTGGTTATCACAAACTGGTCCACAGAACTGGAGTCTCTCACAGAGCATCAAAGTACCCGCTGTGATGCACACTATGATGGATCCCAGAAAATCACCCAAGATGTGCAGGAACACTCCCCTGATGTTCATTTGGTCAGCTGTAAAAAAAAAAACAGTAGAATCAACTTCCAGCTTGTTACTTATTTTCCCTTTTTATAACACCAATATGATACGCAGAAACAAGAGTTGCCGATTACCTCAAGTAGCACACAATTTTCCTATCAGTAACCATTTAAGAAAAAAGTAAAAACCGGAAAACAAAAGAATAAAAACCAGCGTCGTATATAGCTAAGAATTCCTACCTAGTTACGATGCTGGTTTTTATTCCCATCAAGTACGGTCAAAATAAGTCTAAATCTAGACTAGCCATTTACTTCAACAGTGACTTCATCAATGACTCAGTATCATTTAATCTTCCGGCAATAAGTCTATCAAAGTGGTTTTTCTCGATACTGAGAGAAAAATTTCGATGTAATTTGTCGGACAGGATAGATTGAGAAATTTTACAATTCTAGGAATTAAAGAACACAAACCATCGTCTAAAATGGAACGCATGTGAAAGAAGAGCCTTTAATTCAAAAACAATGCAAAAACTTCATGTCAGGGCAAACTCACGATTTTGCTTCTTTTTCGCACACGATTGTTGCTTTTCTTCATCTTTCTTGATACCGTTCATGTTGACTTTCTTTGTCACTCTAAAAAATGGCTTTTAATTTTATACAATCACGAAAAAAATCTGGCTCAGAATATGAACGAGGACAAACTCACTCTAATGGATATGTGATAGCAGATGGGACTTGATTCTCGGCACACTTGAAACACGACTCCGGTTGGCACTTAGATCTCGATGCAGCTGGAATGCAGTTTCGGCAGAAGTAACACGTGAAACTCGGTGCGGTCAGTTGCGGATTCATGATGTTCACTGGACGCGTATCTCCCGACTCTGAGTCTGTTGGCAAGTGATCGTAGTCTTTCGGATTCAGAGTTGACCTGCTATTGACAGTAGTTGAGCTACTGCTGGTGCAGTTTGTAGCATTGCTCTTTCCGGTCATGAACTCACTATCGATTGCGCTTTTATCACCGTGACTTGTGATCAAGGTCTCGCTCTGTTCCGAATCACCGTCAGAGTGGTCTCCGACATTGCCAGTCTTCAATGGTTTAGTCAGCTTGTGATCATGGCTCTGATGCGTATGAGCATGGACATGATGATGATTTGCCTCACCGTGGCCATGATCGTGCCCATGGTTGTGAACATGAGTGTTGCCGTGTCCATGACTGTGTCCGTGACCATGATCATGACCACCTCCTCCATGATCATGAGCATGATGGTCTAATAAAAACGATACTCATCATATCACGCCATAATCCAGAAGAAAAAAACACTAAGCCTTTTGATGTGTTTCAATGTGTAAAACTTGGGAAAATTATTTACATGACAGTTTTTCTTTCGGTAAACTGTTATCAGTAGATATGAAAAGCTAAATTTGACTAATTTGCAATACAACACTTGCAATTGAAAAATTCACTTTTTGATACTCGTACTGAAGAGCCATACTGCTAGATAGAAATTGAGTTCTACTGATCCGCTAATTTAAAAAAAAACCGAAAATCAGTAGCTAGGACCGTTTTTATAAGATCTAATACAAGGAATCAAAATAAATAAAAGAGACGAAGCTGATCTTCGCACCATTTGTGATACATTACAAACAGAGCATGGCAGCTAGCCGAAAGTAAAAAAGACTAAAACCACCAGGTCGAAAAAAGTGTTTGAGAAAAGATCGATAGTTACTAGATCCAACAAAACTTTATCATCTTTGTCTCCACGGCAGTTGACTTTGACAAAAACCTTGCCAGCCTTATATGAGCAGCTACTCACGAAGCTCTAAATAAGCTGAAACAATTTGTGTAGACACCCCGTGAGCCGAAAAAAAGGTCACAAAAAATTTGAAACTCGTAATTTGCAAACCCCTCCTTCCCCATCTGCAATGCACACGCATAAAAATCTCTTTTACCTCATAAAACAACAACTTGAGGTGTAACCCAATATAAGATTAGCTAAACAAAAAAATCAAACACAGAGGCGAAGCTGCTTTTATCCGAGAACACGAATAAAAGAAGTTCTGTGACGTGCAATAATAAAAAATAAGCCTCGAATTAGTAAAAAAAAAAAATTAGCTTCATTTGCTATTCGAACCTGCGACCTCGTGATTAAGAGACTCACACACTAACCACTCAGCCACGGATGCTTAATACCTTCCAAACACTAGCCACAATTTAAGCAGAGAACAGATGCTATGCAATTTCCAATACTTCATTGAAATTTCTAAATAATTGAACACTTTTATTTGAGAGTTAGGTTAGTAAGAAAAAATTTTCGTAATAACACATTAAGCTGATCGCAAGTGTCAAGAAACTATAGAAATCGCAATAATTCAACACAGAGGCAAAGCTGAGCTTAGCCTCACTTGCGATACACAACGAGAAAGCCGCTAAAAATTGTGGCCGAAAAACATGAAAAAATTCAAAATAGTCGAAATTCGAAATCTATCAAAATAAAAAAAAGGCTAGTTTTGAAGCAAAAACATGCAATACAAAAGAAAGTGAAAACATCAGCGTCAAAAAAATATTAAGAGGCAAGAAAGCTGAAAATACCCTTGCAGAAACCTTTTAAGCTGAAAAAAAATTGAGGAGACATGATTTTGAAACAAAAAAAAAGTCTTCTTCACCCTCACATACATTTACAAAATTTATTTGCTGGTCAAATGAAAAAATACGAGACTACTAACTCAAACAGCTTAAAACTTAAGTCCCCCTCGCTCTCAAAACAAACACAAACTTTTGCGCTCGTAGCGAGAACACGACAAAAAGCAGCTCTATAAAGCGCAAAAATAAATTCGAACCACTGAGATTCGAACCTGCGACCTAGAGTTTAAGAGTATCACACGCCAACCACTCAGCCACGTACACTAATGAAAAGAAAAATGAAAAAATAAATTAAAAAATTGTTTTCTTTGTCAAAAAAAAGTTCAAATTGCAAAAGCGGACAAAAATAAGCAGACACGTAAGTCTAAAATATTCGAAAATTTTCAGTTTCCACAAAAAACACCTCTAGACCAAGTGAGAAGGGTTCTGATAGATGTTGAAGTCCCATCATAAAGCAAAGTCATTTGCTGACAAATTTGTAAAAAAAAATAACGGGAAAAATCCCAATTGCAAAAACATTTGCTTTCGCAAGTGACAAAAAGTATGACATCAATGAATACGTACGACTAAAAATGAACATCCCGATGACATTGATGAGAAGGCCAGCAATACCAACGTAGAGGACTAAATCTGGATCTTCAACGGGTTCGGGTTCGATAATCCGTTTTACAGATTCGATGAAAATAGAAAAGCAGAGAGCCAACAAAAATACTGAGTTCACGAGTGCTCCAAGAACTTCAGCTCTAACCCAGCCAAATGTGTTTTTCGATGACCGTTTACTGGCCATTCGAACTGCCAGCAATCCTATTATGAGTGAAATAACATCACTAAGCATGTGGAAAGAGTCGGCAACGAGGGCCATACTGTTCCCAATATAGCCAACAATAAGTTCAACAAAAAAGAAAACTGCAGTAAGAGTGAGCTGGAAAATAAGTTTGAACGATTTGCTGTGATGAACAGGCTTCTTGGCTCTCTTCCTCGTTTGAATTTCTATATTACCCGCCGATGACTCATAAGCACCATTGTGCGACTCATCTTTTCTTTTACGACAACCCATTTTGCCAAAACTGAAGAGTTCTAACGCTTACATAAACTTCTGAAACATATTAACAAAATGATTTAAAGGCTGAAGTATTGCTATGGAATACAAAATGCAGCTTTTGATTTCGACTGTTTAATATCTGTTTTAGAGCAGTAGATGATTTAGAGAGGGGTTGGGTCAGGTTAAAAACTGACAAATTTTTCCCGCTGAATTCCTCGTTAAACAAGGAGGGCTAGTTGCTGTACAAATACAACGCAATGATCCAATATTAGGAAAACCATTTAAAAACTGAAAAATCAAACACAGGCGAAGAAGAGCTTCGCATCCATTGCGATACAACACAAAAATAGAACAAAACATAAGTCGGAAAAATTTTGAATATTGAAAAAACTAGACCAAATTTTCGTATGTCTCGGTAATAAACAATTATAGGGCCAGATAAAATTGGTGGTACGTGTTTGATATTGAATGAATTTGCTATACTGATGCCGCACGAAAAATTTTTCCGCTGAATTCCTCGTTAAACAAGGAGGGCTAGTTGCTGTACAAATACAACGCAATGATCCAATATTAGGAAAACCATTTAAAAACAGAAAAATCAAACACAGGCGAAGCAGAGCTTCGCATCCCTTGCGATACAACACAAAAATAGAACAAAACATAAGTCGGAAAAATTTTGAATATTGAAAAAACTAGGTGAACCAAAATTTTCATATGTCTCGATAATGAACAATTATAGGGCCAGATAAAATTGGTGGTACGTGTTTGATATTGAATGAATTTGCTATACTGATGCCGCACGAAAAATTTGATTTCAACAAATGGACTTTGTACAAAACCTTAGTGGTTTCTTTAATGAACAGCGCGAAGAGCGAAAATTTTATCTTACACAGAGGCGAAGCTGAGCTTCGCACCACTTGCGATACAAACATGAAAGCTTTGAAAATCAAACGGGAAAAAATCAAAAAATCGTTTGGTCATTAAAAATTGCAACAAAAGCCGAAAATATCCCGAACAAAATTGCCTGCGCCATTCTAAACTCTAAAGAGCTTTGGGAAGCAAAGCTTTCAAAAAAAGTCCTTTCTGCAGAACTGAGCAGACAATTAGCCAGAAAACAAGTCTCAACAGGAATCCAACTCCCCGACTTTGTCGTCTCAAGGATGGGGGTTACAGCAATTTAGAATTAAGCTGAACCAGCAAGCTATGGGAACTAAAACGACAAAATTAAACAGAAGGACGATAATCCGAAACGAACAAAAACTAGTTCGCAAAAAAGGGCCCGACCGGATTCGAACTGCAAATCTTTGCCATCTCAAGCTTTACGTCTACGCCAGATGGTTGATTGATTTGAATTTATAATTACCAAGCGGTAACAAAGTCGAAAAAACCTGATCAGAAACCCTTCACCCTGAAAAGAAAATCAGAAAAATTCCCTTTTCCCGTAAGAGAACACTAAGTCGAGAACACTAAGACGCAATAAGAGAACACTCAGTCGATATTGCTAGTCTGTATTTAATTGTCATGTGATTGAAATGTGTAAGTGGTATTTTGAATAACGTATACTCTATTTCAGTGGGGCTTATGTAATAGATGTATTAGCAATCAGTAGCTTTCATGTTAGCAGTTTGATCACCGGCATCTAAATTACATCATGAGTACATCATTCAAAGCCTCACCCACCATCTTGGCCCGACAACAAGGAATTTGAAAGGTGGAAAAGCGAAATGGATGTATGGGTCCGCATCACAGATGTTGTCGCACAAAAAGCAAGCTCTTAATGTTGTTTATGCTCTGTGCCAGTCGGTCATATCTGGAAGTTTGACCTTGAGGAATACGAAATACGTAGTTTTGGGATAAAGTTTAATTTTTCAAAAATTCAAATTGAGCCTGTCATGCTCAACTTTCTCGCGACAACTGAAAACATCAGAAATAAGATCGAAACGACCGAATCGCAACTGCGGGAAAGAGGCAGAAAAAACAGCGGGAAATTGCTATTCGCAATTTCCGAGATTCAAGTAAAAAACACGAGAGTAGAGCTGTCCTATCTTGATATAGGAGACAGAGTGATTCCAAAAGAACATCGAAATTCAGCTGAACCAGAGTGAATCTTCAGTGGAAAGGTAGGCAACTGGGGTCTCCCCATGGTTCAGACCCCAAAACTATATTATCAAGATAAGACTCATTTCCTTTGATTGGAATTCATTGATAGCAAACTTCTCGAGTTATATTCAATCGTATTTATGCTGGAGTTACTAATTAGCTTAATTACTCTGATTCTCAAGTGTGCTGCTATGTGAATACCTAATTTAATTTTCCCGAGTGTATTTTGTGATAAGTATGTTGAGATAAGGCGAGTTTTAGCTTGATCCATCTGATATGGATCAAAGTTCCACTGTCCAATAAAAAGTAACTTAACGGATTGTTCCGACCCTGTTTTTAACGGCGTTCGTGTATTTTGGTTATTTTGAGACCTAAATATGGGGACGTTCTTATTTTCTAGAGTGGGGGGGTATTTTGGTAGTGGCCTTTAAGCTGTAACGGGTTCTAGTCTCATGTCGCAAGTGAACCGAATTGGCTCCGACCGTTTTGAGGTAGAAAAACACAAGAGATAGTGTCCCTGACTCCTGAGCCAATGGTTATAGGGCCTATTTTTCTTAGGCCTCATATGACCGAAGTAGGCGACTGTTACAAAGTGTTTTTATGGCGCTCCTGGGTATTTTTACGACATCATGACTATGGAGTCGAAGCCACTTGACACAGCTCCGGGCTTCATGCCCATTATAGAGTACCAGTGGTACGGTACAGCGGGAACGTGTAAACCTTCCGGTTGTACCGTGATAGCTTTTTAAGAAAACTCGAGAAATTTTTCCGGTACGCTCTCCGAACGAGGCTTAGCTAACCGAGTAAGGGGGGTAACAAGGGGGACAAAAACACGAACAAAAAGACAAAAAGCGAAACAAAAACAAGAAAAAAGAATAGAAAAAGGAACAAAGACCATAAAACAAAAAAATGACAGTGACTTTGACACCAGATTAGTTGGATCAAACCTTTATATTGTTCAGTTCCAAAACTTAATTCTTGAGTCAAAACTTATTTCCCTTGCTGGAATTCATTAATAGCAAACTTCTCAAGCTATTATACTTAATGCTAGAATTACTGATTAAATTAAATATCCCAATTCTCGAGTGTGCCGATATGTGAGTACTCAATTTAGTTTTTTTGAGTGTGTTTTATGATTGTTATGTTAGGGTAAGGACAGTTTTAGGTTGATCCATCTGAAATGGATCAAAGTTCCACTGTCTAATAAAAAGTGACTATACGGATTGTTCCGACCCTGTTTTTAACGCCGTTCGTGTATTTTGGGTATTTTGAGACCTAAATATGGGGACGTTCTTATTTTCTAGAGTGGGGGGTATTTTGGTAGTGGCCTTTAAGCTGTAACCGGTTCTAGTCTCATGTCGCAAGTGAACCGAATTGGCTCCGACCGTTTTGAGGTAGAAAAACACAAGAGATAGTGTCTCTGACTCCTGAGCCAATGGTTATAGGGCCTATTTTTCTTAGGCCTCATATGACCGAAGTAGGCGACTGTTACAAAGTGTTTTTATGGCGCTCCTGGGTATTTTTACGACATCATGACTATGGAGTCGAAGCCACTTGACACAGCTCCGGGCTTCATGCCCATTATAGAGTACCAGTGGTACGGTACAGCGGGAACGTGTAAACCTTCCGGTTGTACCGTGATAGCTTTTTAAGAAAACTCGAGAAATTTTTCCGGTACGCTCTCCGAACGAGGCTTAGCTAACCGAGTAAGGGGGGTAACAAGGGGGACAAAAACACGAACAAAAAGACAAAAAGCGAAACAAAAACAAGAAAAAAGAATAGAAAAAGGAACAAAGACCATAAAACAAAAAAATGACAGTGACTTTGACACCAGATTAGTTGGATCAAACCTTTATATTGTTCAGTTCCAAAACTTAATTCTTGAGTCAAAACTTATTGCCCTTGCTGGAATTCATTAATAGCAAACTTCTCAAGCTATTATACTTAATGCTAGAATTACTGATTAAATTAAATATCCCAATTCTCGAGTGTGCCGATATGTGAGTACTCAATTTAGTTTTTTTGAGTGTGTTTTATGATTGTTATGTTAGGGTAAGGACAGTTTTAGGTTGATCCATCTGAAATGGATCAAATTTCCACTGTCTAATAAAAAGTGACTATACGGATTGTTCCGACCCTGTTTTTAACGGCGTTCGTGTATTTTGGGTATTTTGAGACCTAAATATGGGGACGTTCTTATTTTCTAGAGTGGGGGGTATTTTGGTAGTGGCCTTTAAGCTGTAACCGGTTCTAGTCTCATGTCGCAAGTGAACCGAATTGGCTCCGACCGTTTTGAGGTAGAAAAACACAAGAGATAGTGTCCCTGACTCCTGAGCCAATGGTTATAGGGCCTATTTTTCTTAGGCCTCATATGACCGAAGTAGGCGACTGTTACAAAGTGTTTTTATGGCGCTCCTGGGTGTTTTTACGACATCATGACTACGGAGTCGAACCCACTTGACACAGCTCCGGGCTACATGCCCATTATAGAGTACCAATGGTACGGTACAGCGGGAACGTGTAAACCTTCCGGTTGTACCGTGATAGTTTTTTAAGAAAACTCGAGAGAATTTTCTGGTACGCTCTCCGAACGAGGCTTAGCTAACCGAGTAAGGGGGGTAACAAGGGGGACAAAAACACGAACAAAAAGACAAAAAGCGAAACAAAAACAAGAAAAAAGAATAGAAAAAGGAACAAAGACCATAATACAAAAAAATGACAGTGACTTTGACACCAGATTAGTTGGATCAAATCTTTATATTAAATAAATAGTATACCCATACTGTTTTATAAGACCGATCCTTTCTATCAACCTAGCAAAATTATCCAGCAACCTCAATAAGGTGCCCGAGTGGGGGCGTTGTTAAGGGTTTTCAGATAGCTTGCAACCTAGCTGAACCACTAGGAGACTTGACTGGAAGAGGTGACCAGCCGAGTGGGAAAGTGGTTC